AATTTAGAGGATACTTATATTTGATTCATTAGTAGCTCCAGGCCCCATAAACATAAAAAAAGCTATTAAAGTTGCAGTTAATTTTTTTTTTTCTCTCAATAAAATTGCCTGAACTTGACAACCATGACCGATTCCCTCCACTGCCATTGTCACGCTGCCAGTCAACATGGGGAAGAAAATTAAACAAAAATGAAGTGGCTGTGTGCTAATCTCAGATTTATTGTGGGGTTTTGTGTATGAGCCCCTTTCCCCGTCGATGCTTTGTGAAGAGCTGGGACTTCATCATTGTGCCCATGGCCAAAGACATCCTTTCCCCTGCTTTCCACTCAAGTACCCCAGACTGCAGATGCTGTTAAGGGAAGGCACCAAACCCCACAGATCACAAGGCCAATTACAAACACAGATTTGTGTGACCAAATGGGGTCCCCCTGCTCTGAGATCTTGATGTGCAGGGCCCAACTGTGAGCTGGACACGTCTCCATCTCCCACATGCTGGCTGCCAAAAGCAGAGCAATAGCACTGACAGCAGAATCTACGACAAGATGCAAATTGTCTCGAATGCACTGAGGGGAAAAAGAGCTTTGTGTGCACTTTGTATGCACAGAGAGCCTTCAGCTGTCTCTCTGCTCGGGATGTCTGCAGGAGCCTTTGGAGTCTGGGAATGCTGTGTTTGGGTTTTGCATCTGTTGCTTTTGATAGCAGACATGTCCTGCTCCGTTCTCCCTGTGGTTGCTCATGCAGGGTGTGCTCACAGCAGCCTTGGCATCGGGGTCCATCCGCTGCCAGCCTGGCCGCGCGTCCTGCACGGAACACTCGGTGCCTCGGGCCCTTCCTTAGCTGGAACCAAAGCATGGACAGATGCCAGGCTCTGGGGAAGAAGCAGCATCTGAAAATTGGGTAGTTAAGTGCCTGCAGAGTGTCCTGCTGGAGGAAGAATCTGGCAGATTTTGGCAGCGCTACCTTTGGTTCAGTCACTTTGGGGTCACCTCGGTAGCAGGAGGGCATGCTGCCTTCTGCCAGGTAGCCTCTGACTAGTTTTTTTTTCCTTTAATGAGAAACCTGGAGCCTCACAGGCTGTTTAACTATAGTTCAGGCAGTGAGGCGTGACCAAAGCCAGCCCTTTTTCCAAAAACTCATGTCTCTGCAGGCAGGTCAGCTGCACCGGCATCGCGCAGGGCTCCCAGTGAGGACACGGGTCACTGGCAGATCCTTGCCCTCCCTTGGGGTGGTGTGGAGGGCAGAGACAGGGCTCAGGAGTGTCCTTTATGGTGCTGTGTATTTGTGTCTCTCCATGGAAGGGGCTCACTTTGGCTTGGAGAAGCTGAAGGCCATGGTGGGGGATGAAGGCCCCTCTGACTGCCTGGCAGCCAGTCTGTGCCAGATAGGACCTGGGGCTGGACTCAGCCTACCCAGGTTCAGGTGTCTGACTGGGCTGATGCTTCAGCTCTTCAAATAACCAAAGTTGTTCTGCCCCAGGTAATGCCTTTCCTCCCCTGTGTCCCTTCCCTGGCTGAGGCCAGGCAGGAGCTGCCTCCTGACAGAGCACAGGGTGAGATATTGGGATGAAGGAGCTGTTGGGTGTCCCTCACTGCCCCAAAATGTGGGTGACAGTGAGAGATCTGACCTGGGCCAGCCCTGAGCATCCCTCGCTCTGCTCAGCCCCGCAGAGCTGGGGCACCCAGGAGGAACGTGCAAGGTAAAAGCACTTGTCACAAGGAATAAAATCGGAAACACGTCTTGGGAAAGTCTTTTTGATTCTAATGGGCATCTCTGAGGCTGCTGCTGGAAGCTTCTGGAGGACTGGGCTGATGGCAGAGCACATCCCAGAGCCCTGCTCTTCCCACTGAGCCCATCCTCAGAGGACCTGGGGAGGGGCTGGTGGGAGCTGGGGCTGCTCTGTGCCCTCAGGGGGGCACTGGGAAATGCCATCTGCTGACCTGTGGCCAGCACCAAAGGGAGCTTTTGGGTAAAACCAAAAAAAAGCAACAGTGGCCCATGCAGAGCAGCTCTGCCCCTTGGCTCTTGTCTGAGGTTGAGTGCAGACAGGTTTAAAGTCTGGCTCCTCTGTGTGGCTGGCAAAGGTTAAAAGATCTCGAGTGTCTTTGTATTTAATTCTCTCTTTTAGTGGCAGATTATTGTTTTTCATGGGAGCTGAAATCCGGATGGGTTTGAAGGACATTTCTCCTGCACCAGGGGCTGGAATGATTTGTTCAGAGCTGCTACACTTTGTCTATCCTTGTTAAGTACCCAGGGAACACAGACTGCCACCTAGGGAATTTAACGTGACACATAAAAATAAGGAGTGCAGGAGAAAGCTGTAGGCTTCACAGTGTTTAACCACCTTGTATCCTTGCTACAGAGCAAGCAATTTTCTTCGAATTTGAGATGCCAAAGGTGGGAGAACACCTACTGCCCTGCCTTAGGGCTGGCACTGGTGCCCTGTGGGAGAGCGAGAGCCACCAGCTCCATGCTGCTCATGTAGGATCGCAGCCATGCCACAGGGGATCAGCACTAAAAAAGGCTCAACACTGGAAAGTGAGCATGAGTGAAAATGTGAATAGGATCAGCAAGCTTGTTTTTGATACATAAAAATTACACATTGCCATCGTCACTGCTCATTTGGCTGCTGACTGTTCCTGTTGTGCAGGTGGCACAAAGGGAAGGCTGCCTGTGAGCTCTGCCCATGCCAGCATCTTCCCTGTACTACCCCAGCTTCTGCCCTGGTGTATTGCAGGGGGCTGGAGCTACAGAGCACCAAGATGGGCAGGTCAAGGAAGCAGAGCAGGCCCAGGCATTGGGAACTGCAAGTTGTTCACACCTGAGGTGTGACCTGCTGTGGGCACTTGAGTGCCTCCCTGTTCCTCCCCCACACAGGGCAGGAATACTTTGCTTTCCAAAGCTGTGAGAGAAATCCCATCACTTGCTCTGGCCCTCTTGGTCCATTTCAAAAAGCCCTTTCGAGGCCATCTCTCTCTGGGAGATGAATTCCTCACACACATGCTGTGTTCCTGCCAGGTGAGGTGTCTGTCAGGGGAGTTAATCCCCATTAATCCCTTCCCTCCTCCCTGAAGCACACAATCTCCTGCTGTTACAGGAATGCACATTAAATGTGGCTCTTTGGCTTAAAATTCATGAACACAAAAGGGGAGGGGATGTTTCCATCTTTCTGGTGGGATGCTGCTGCCCACCAGCCAGAGGTCACTGCCCTGGCAGCAGCAGCTCCTTGTGTTAATTGCTGGGAGTTTGTTCCCAGTCCAAGAGAGTTGCTGCTTGTGCAGCAAATGGGCAGCCTGGGACTTTCAGCAACAACCTGCCTCTTACTCACTGATTTTGTGCAGTTGAGGGGTGCACAAAACAATTCATGTGATGTGGTTCCATCCTCTCATCTCATGGTGTGCAGTGTCACCACTCATGTGATCCCCTGGTTCCCTTGGCCTCGCTCCCAGGCTCTGGGGTGCAGGGCAGATGGTTTTGGCCATGGTCTGGTGTCCACAGGGACTCTGGGGCAGTGGCATTAGCTCTTCCCAGCACAATGGCCCTGACTGGCACAGTCTGTGAACTGGCCTTGGGGAAAACACAGCATTAACCTCCCACTCTGTGGACTGCAGAGCCATTTAGTCCCAGCTTTTCTTTTGTTTAAACAACTCTCAGACAGACAAATAAATGCCTTTGTGCCGTGGCTGTCAGCTCAGGCTCTGTTCTCTTGTCCCTTCCCAGCTCTCCAGGAATGAAGTGTGTGGGATCTGACCCACCAAGGGAGGGGGAGGCAGAGGAGCTTTGTCAGGGGCATTGAAGGCTCTGCCTCCTGCCACTCGCTGCTCATTTGCCACTACTGTTTGCTAAATGACTAGTGTGGGCTGCAGAGCAGCTCTCCCCTGTGGTAGAGAGATATCTGGGCATCTCTTATCTCTGGTGTTAATTCCCTGTTTCCCTGGGAAGAGCAGCTCCTGGGTGGAGAGCCATGTGCCACCCTGCTCTGCTGTCACCACACCCCATGGAAGTGGCAGAGCAGCGGGAGCAAGGACATGCTCGGGAGGTGGCTGCTCTGGGGCAGCATTTAAAGCAGGTAGCACTCAGCAAAGTGCTGAAATCCCACCAAAGTGTTAATGGGAAGGGATAGGAAACCCTTGCTGCCCTTTTTGGAGGCTGCCTGGCAATTTTACCTGCCCTCACCTTCCCTGCGGCCGGCCTTAATTGGGTTTCTCTTATAAAATAAAATGTGGAGCAGTGGAGTGCTGTCGGCACACACCTGCTGGGAGTCTCTGGGGAGCAGAGGGAGGCAGGGCCAGGGGGGGCTCCGGGCTGGAGCTGAAGCCTTCAGTTACACAGCAGAGTGGCTCTGCCAGGCGTGGGGAGACATGTCCTGCTGAGCTCTGCCAAGGTAGGAGGCCAGGGAAGCAGGTTGTGACAGAGGCTTTTAAAGGCTGGTAGAGTCCCTGTGCTTCTGCTCTGCAGGGGGAAGGGGGCAGAAAATGGGTTTTAACAGCACAGTGGGGGTGACTGGAGCATCTCTGGCCCTGCCTGGGGCCAGAGGAGACACCTGACCTTCCCCTGCTGCCAGGGAAAGCAGTGCAGGTTTCCCGGTGGCCATGGAAGTTGAGCAGAACCCAGAGGCCTTGCTCGGGCATGGAGGGGGTTGGGTTTGCCTGGGCACTGTTGCAGGATGTTTAAAGCCTCTGTGTGTCTAATTTCAAGGGAGGTGGCTGTAAGCCATGCCCCGGGCTAAAGGCTGGAAGCAGCTCTCAGAGCAGGGAGGGGAGGGCAGTGCTCCGAGTGCTGCAGCTCTGCTCGTGTCAGCCCTCTCTGTGCCCAAGGTCGGTACATGGAGCAGAGTTCCCAGCCTTGGAAGCCCTCCTTATCCTTCTGCTCTTCCTCCTCCTGCTCCCAGGATGTGCTGGAGGTGAAGTCAGGAGGATGCCATAACTGTGTGATGTCCATTCACACACCTGTGTGGCTCCTGTTGTCCCCTGCTCCCATGTTGCTCCCTGCTGTCCCCACAGGGCTGTAATGTCATGGAAGATCAGGACCTTCGGGATATCGGGATCGGTGACCCTCAGCACCGCCGGAAGCTGCTCCAGGCTGCTCGCTCCCTCCCAAAGGTCAGCACCAGCCAAGGATGGGGCATTGCCAAGCATGGCTGTGAACACAGGGGAGACAAAAGACCCTGCATCTCTGGCTACAGAGGAATCTCCGGGGCTGTGGGAAGGGAATAGCAGGGAGGAGGGATTGTACTGGTTTTCCAGGCTATGTGGATGGTAGTAGCTCCATGCTGGGACTGTTCCTCTTGCCAGCCTTGATCCCAAGCACATTCTCTTTTTGTACAGTGCTTTTCTTACTGGCTAATGGAGATGGTGATGGCCTATAAACTGATTTTTCCTAACCCCCTATCCCTTGGGATCCCAGCTCCTGCAGCTTTTAACACCTTTCTTGTGTTTTCACAGTTGAAACCCCTGGGCTGTGATGGGAATAGCCAGCCATCAGTTCCTGCATGGCTTGACTCCCTGGGGCTGCAGGATTACATCCAGTCCTTCCTTTCGAGTGGCTACAGCTCTATCGACACTGTGAAAAACCTCTGGGAGCTTGAGATAGTAAACGTGAGTGTTGCCCCTCTCCTGCCAGGGCAGCAAGATCCTGCCCTGTTCCCTGGGGCTGGGACTTGCTCCAAGTCTCCCCGAGTAGCTCTGTGCCCATGGTGACCGTGATCTCTCCCTGCAGGTGCTGAAAGTGAACCTGCTGGGCCATCGGAAGAGGATCATCGCCTCGCTGGCAGACAGACCCTACGAGGAGCCACCAGCCAAGCCACCACGATTCTCACAGCTGAGAGTGAGTCCCTGCTTGTGGTTCCCTGCCTGGCCCATGTGTCAGTGCTGGGGGAAATCTTGCCATGGCCAGTAGTGCCCATTCAGCTGCTCACATCATCCTCTCCAGCCACCCAGGCAGAAAATACTTGTGCAGGGGCAGCCTTGCAGTGAGTGGGGAAGGATAATTCCAGCCTTTGTAGGTCAGCCTCTGGATGCTGACCCCATGGGAAAGGTCAGGCTGCCCCTTGGGATCAGGTGCCTGCACTGGAGGGTGCCACTCCCACCTCTGCCCTGCACAGAAGGGAGCTCTGAGCCCACTTTCTTTCCCTTGTTTCCTGGTCAGAGATGTGGGAGCTTTCAGCAGGCAGGAGCGATCCAGCCCAGCTAGAGAGGGGCTGCAGCTGGGACTTGGTGTTTGATTGCACCCTTGGGATCCAGAGCCCTCTCCTTGGCCCGGCTGGGCTGCTGAGAGCTCCTGCTCTCGCTGCCAAATAACACTCGACAAGATGTGGATGTTGATTTTTGCTGCAGGAGTGGCAGCATTTGGATGTCAGGTCCTTGTTATGGGGCTTGGCTGAGAGGGAGGCATCACATTCCCCGTTCTTCCTGAAAACTGGCTGTGGAGAGCTGAGTTTGGCAAAAGCTGCTGGGCTCAGAGCGACCCTGTGACCTCAGGAATGGGGTAGTATGTTGTGCTGCCTCCTCCAAGAGATTGCTAATCAGCTTCCTGGAGTAGGAATTGGAGTGATTAGTTTACCCATCCTAAACATCTGGTCCTTGCCCTGCTGCAGAGCTCTGCCCTCTTGGATTCCCAAGGCTTTCCAACCCAAACAGCCTTAGCTGAAGCGAGTTGGGCTGCTGTGCTCTGCTTGTTGACATGGGATGTTTTAGGAACTAGATTCAATTGTGAGAACAGAGAGTTCACACTGGTGCTGGGAGGGTGCCCAGTACAAACCCGCTGCTCAACACCTCAGAGCGCGGGAAGGACCAACCCAAGGATCTGCACCATGAGCTGGGCGAGGCTGAAGGTGGCAGGGAGAGAGGGCTGCTTTGGTGTGGCTCAGCTGACTGAGATGCTGCCCAGGGAGGCTGGGTGGGAGAACGGGCCATTTGCAGCATTTCCTGGCGCTGCAGCTGATGAGCTCCAGTGCTGGCTGCGGCGCGGGGGGCAGGCGGACGTCAATGGCAAATCAAGCAAGTGGCTTGAATGGGACTAACACGGCCGCAGCTGTGCTGAGGTTCTGGCCGTGCCTGCAGGCCCTGGGCACGCTCTGGCGGCGGCTCCTGGGGCTCTTCTGCTGGGGTGACTGATCATCATCACCCTCGGGTGCTTAGCTTAGTGCTTATGGGGAACCCATCCCTCTGGGATCACCTTGCCCCCAGCCCAACGTGTCCCCTGCCCGAGCTTGTGGAGGCAGAGGCATGCTGAGCACAAAGGACTGAGTACATGGCTGAAACCATTCTGGAGCAAATCAGGCGTCTCATGCAGAAGGTAAAGGGTGGGATTGGCACTGAGGCAGGAGCCCCCAGAGCAGGAGCTGACCCCATTAGTCCACTCAGTGCACCTTGTGTCGGGCAATGCAGAGGGAGTGATGGGGAGCACAGCACAGCCCAAGCTCACTTGGTGGTGTCTGCTCCTTCCAGTGCCAGGACTTGATGTCCCAGGCATCGTCGCCCCTGAGCCAGAACGACTCCTGCACAGGCAGATCTGCTGATCTCCTGCTGCCCTCCGGGGATACTTCCAAGAGGCAACACGATCGTGGCACTGAGCTTGCTCCCTACTCCAGAGCTGAGCGCTACAAAGCACAGGTGAGTGGGTGCTTTTTTGTGTCCTAGGGGCCCTCTGCACAGGCTCCCCCATCTCTGGAGCTGGGGAGAAGGGACAGTAGTGCAGGGAGGGAGCTGGTCAGGCTCAGCTTCCCTCAGACCATAGAGCCAGCAGCATCTTTGTGCCTCAGTTTCACCTCAAAAACGGATGGCTCACACTTGTATCGGCACTGGCACCTCAACCCCATGTGCTGCCTCCACCCAGCTCCTGGGGGTCTTGGCCATTGCTAACCTCAGTCCCTTCAGCTCAAAGAGCCCCCCTGAGAGCTGTTCCAACCCACGTTGAACCTCTTTTGGCTTCACATCTGTGTTTCTTCGCATGCAGGAGGACCGTCGGGAGTCCAGGCTAACCCTGCGCCCCCCAAGCCTGGCAGCCCCATATGCCCCCGTTCAAAACTGGCAGCACCAGCCCGAGAAGCTCATCTTCGAGTCCTGCGGGTATGAGGCCAATGTAAGTGGCTTTTGGTTTGTGGGGTGGTGAGGATGAGGAGGCTCTGAGGGTCAGGGCAATGTCATTGCCTTGGGATTGGCAGGATTTAACATCTCTCCCTCCTTCACACAGTACTTGGGCTCCATGTTGATCAAAGACCTCCGAGGGACAGAGTCTACACAGGACGCCTGTGCCAAGATGAGGGTACGGAGACTCTGGGGCCAGGGGCTTCACTTGTAGCCTGTGGTGGATGATGTGGGTTGGGGAGGGGGGAACTCAGTAGTTCCCCAAACCCTGTAGGGGCCCAGATCACCAAATAGGCAGTGCCACTGTCTGGTGAACTGCCCCTTCCCAGCATTGTTCCCAGTACCCAGAAGGTCTGTGGGAGAGTGGGTGTTTTCACTGGGGAGGTGGTGGCTGGGTTCTCTTCAGGTCCCTGTCTCTTCCCCTCTGCTTCCACCAGTAGCTAACTTTCCTCCTCCTGGTCCCAGATCCCCAGAACTTCCTGCAGGGGCCTGGGGGTCTCTGGGGTGGGGTAGGCTGGGGCAAGGCAGGGGTGAAGAGGGAGCATCCATTCACAGTTGGTCACTTGAATGTTCTCATTTCTGAAGAAATCCACGGAGCACATGAAGAAGATCCCAACCATAATCCTGTCCATCACGTATAAAGGGGTGAAGTTCATTGATGCCTCCAACAAGGTGAGCTGCAGATGCCTCAGAGTCAGTGTCTGGAGGGACACAGCCTGCAATCCCACCTGCCTGAGAAGCTGCAGATCACTTCTTGTGGCTCCAGAAGCCACAACTGATCCTGGGGAGCTTCTAGGGCTGGGGAAGAACACCAAGGTGGTGATAATCACCGGAGTGCCAAAGGCTTGGCAGTCTGGCTGCTTGTAAACCATGTTCCCATTTATTCCTGCCATGGGAGGGAACTGGAACTGGTCTGGCTGGGAGACTCCCCTTCCCTGTCCCCAGGACACCCTCCACAGCTGCTGTTTGCCAGGTGTATTTGCCATCCCCAGAAGGGTGACAGGTGCTTGTGGTTGACCCTGGCAGAATGTCATTGCTGAGCACGAGATCCGGAACATTTCCTGTGCTGCTCAGGACCCTGAGGATCTCTGCACGTTTGCCTACATCACCAAGGACCTGCAGACCAGCCATCACTACTGCCATGTCTTCAGCACTGTAGATGTGGTGAGTGCAGTCATGTCACATCTCCCAGTCCTTCTCAGCCCATTTGTTTCATCCTTCAGCTTTATTGGTTAGTCACAGACTGCTCCTTTCCAGGGTTCTTTCAGCCATTTTTACCAAAAAGTGGTCTTGGTTCCAAATACCTGTCCTTTGGACCTCTGTGGACAAAGAGAATATTTGTCTGGCTTCATTACTGCCATCTCCAGCATTGAATAAAGCAGGGCAAGAGCTTTCCCTCCTGGGGAAATGTGCCGTGCATAAGCCCCTAATATGCTCTAAATTATGTTGAACATAATGGGCTGATTTAACAACCTTTTAACTCAGAGAGGGTAGAAATGTGATTAGCTTTTATACTTGGGCAGAATCAAAATTACACAAGACTTTTGAGCTATTTTTCCTTTATGCTGCTGAACTGCAATGCTGGTGGGGCTTTACAGGTGGGCAGGGGGCCCTGGGGGAGGCAGCGTGGTCCTGGTCCCCCACAGCAGGAGGTCAGTGGCTTTTAGGGACACAGCAGGACATGACCTGCTGACAGGTCACCCTGCTACCAGTTCTGCCAAGGTCTGTGAGCCCAGAGCAGCTTCTGAGCACAAGGGGGACTGTAGACAGGGTGATCTGACAGCTTTGTGTTCTCTCTGTTCTCTCAAAGAACCTGACGTACGAGATCATCCTCACGTTGGGGCAGGCATTCGAGGTCGCCTACCAGCTCGCCCTGCAAGCCCAGAGAGCAAAGCCTCTGGGTGCTGGAGCAGGAGAAATGATTGAAACAAAATCTTCCAAACCGGTGCCTAAACCACGAGCAGGCATGAGGAAATCCGTGGTATGTGGGTGCGGGCAGGAGTGACCTGCTGGGCTGAGCTGGGGGTGCTTGTGGGCACTGCACCCCTGCGCCTTCCCTGGGTGGTGGGAGGAGCCCAGATGTGGTCCAGGTGCCTGTCTTGCTGCTGGTACTGCAGGTCTGGGCCTGTGTCAGTTCTGCTGTGGGGCTGGGGCTTCTCCTGGTAGCAGGAGGACAGGCAGAGGTGGAAATAGCCCAGGTGGGATGGGGCTTTAGTGCCTTGCTGGGTCCAGCACGTGCAAACCCTGCAGAGGTGCAGTGAGATATGTAGGTGAGCTGCAGTATGGGATTTCCCATAGCCAAAACCAGCCAAGACACAGCTGCTGAGGAGCTGCTGAGGAGCAGGGACTGCTGCACAAGCCACTGCCTTCCTTTAATGTCTCCTTTTGTCTGTGTTCTGCTTGCTCCCCCCGCTCAGGTGCCGCTCCCTCCCGACACCCGCTGTTGTTACTGTCACACCTGTACAACACACCGCCCCTCCTACCTGCCGCTGCAGTCTGTTAGTCCTGGAGCGAAGGTCTTTACCCTTCTTCCTGCCATCCTCCCTTCCGAACTGACCCGGGCTGCCTTCCCACTTCCTTTATCTCCTGCTGTGCCTCCATGTCCTGCTTGCTGTTGTTGTTCCCCCTGCTTGTTGTGGCCCACGCCGGGGGTTTGGATGAACCCCGGGGACCTGCTGCTCCCACCCACCCCACTGATGCAGTGTGGCAGCTCTCAATGAACCCCGCTGCTCCTGCTGGGGTAGTAACTTCCCCCTGGCACCCTGATTTAGCAGGACAAGAGGAAAGAGTCGTGCTTGGTCAAGAGGGTAAATCACATGGGAGCTCACCTGCCAGGAACTGTCTCCCTCTGTCCCATTTCTGTAGCGCTCCATTTTTCATGCTTGTTTGAGATGAGCGAAGCTGTCGCTAATGGTGACAGGGACTCACAGCCTAATGCAGGGAGTCATCTTGGGGTGCTGGGTTGAGACTGACATGGCCAGACATGTTTTAGCTGTGAAGTACTCAAATGCCTCCCCAGCAAGAGCTGCTTCCTTGCACACATGCATATTTTTGGGACGGGCAATAGGCAGGGAGGCGCTCCATGCTTTGAGTCCCCATTCATTCTGTCCCAAAAGCATGGGTGTCCTAAGATGCCCTGTCTCCTTATTTTCTAGCTGGATCCCCCTGAAGTGGACCAAGACTCCCAGTCTCATGCCAGTGTCTCCTGGGTCGTGGACCCCAAGCAGGACTCCAAGCGGACCCTCAGCACTAAGTATGAGACCACTATCTTCTAAAGCAAACGCCCGTGTCCGCCCCGTCTAACCGTGCCTTTGCGATCTGATCTGTCTGCTCTTCTAAACTCCCTCTTCCTCCAGCTGCTCGCCCTGAGCCCGCGTAGGCACCGCGTCCGAGGCAGCAGCACTTATGAAACTGTAGACTTAAAGGCTTTTGTACCTGATCGCTGCTGAACACTGTGAATCTCCTTCCTCAGAAACGAGGGTAACGCGCTGTAGCTGCCCGTGAGGCAGGAGGAGCAGAGAGGGCAGGCTGCCGGTCGGAGATGTGCATCCAGGAAAGCCGCCCACCGTTTTCACGTCTTCTCCCCTCACTCTGGCACTGTGAATCCCTGGGGCAATGTGATACTCCCCAGGCCTTTTTTTTGTATCTCACCTTGTCCTTGGACTGATGGAGACCTCTTGTCTCTATGGTGCACACGCTCCCTCCTCCTAGATCCTCCTCTTCCCGACTGAGCCACGGCTGTTTACTGTTCAGTGAACTCACCTCTCCTTCCCTGCCAGTCGAACCGACACTAACCACTGTGATGCTCTCTGCAGATAACACATGGGCACTTCCATTTCCTCACGGCCACCCTGGCCCACGGTTTCCCTCCTCAAAACTCAGCACAGAACTTGCTCTGGGTGGTGGGGGAGCGTTGGTTTGGGCCAGGTGTGATCATTCCCACTGTGAGCTTTTCCCCTCGGAGATGAGGGGCGGGTTGGTTGCATGCATTTCAGTCCCTTGTAGGTTTTTCTTCCCCTCGTAGTCCTTGTGTTTACACTCACCAGACTTCTCATGGGTGCTGGGTGTAGTTCTCACGTGGCAGCCTGTGGTTAAGCTTCCAAAGGCACGTGTTGTTAGCCCCAGGCTGGGGAGGGAAGGTGTCAGCTGGACACCACAAGCAGCATCAGCAGGGAGAGGTCAGAGAGCAGCCCTGGGTTATTTGCCCCTGGTGTTAGGGCCCAGCAGCTTGTCTGAGTTTTGCTGTGGCTTTGGAACTGCTGCCTCAGAGCTTCCATTCCCCCTCACCTGTGGTGAAATCTGATGTTTCGGTCCTTATTTAGCTCTTTCTCAGGAATGAGTTGGATCTCCCAAGTCATTTGCAACTTAATGGCAAACTGACCTCAGACTGAGGGCTCATCTAGTGGGAGCCCAGTGAGAGGACTAAAAGTGTTATCTTAAAGCAAAAAAAACACAAAGGAAAGCTCAGTCTAGTACAGACATTTCATATGCCACAGAGTCAGCACTGCCCAGGGCCTGCCACCCTAGCCCTTTTGGATAGCAGAACATTGCTATGCTGAGGTGCTCCAGGAGATTGGGTTTGGGTTCCATCAGCACTTTTCCAAGCTGTAAGAGTGCCCTGAAGGTTTCTGTGCCCCTCTAAGAGAAACTCAGTCCCTGCCATGGGTGGCAGAGCAGTTTCTACGTGTGGGTGTTCATCACGCAGCTGCCACACGTCCACCCAGTGTCAGAGGCTCTGAGCTCTTCACTTCCCCCTGCTCTCAGCTGGGAAGGGCAGGTCCCTCCGTGCCCCCTAAATCCAGGTCACGAGAGCATGTGCCTTTCTAAGGGTGACCAAATCCAGCGGGGTCACAGGCAGCCCTTCCGAAACCGCGCCGCCGCTGCTGCTCTGTGTCCGTAGCCCTGACGATTTTTGTGTCCCATCTGCGAGCCGTTCTCCTCGCCTTTCCCAGCACGTGTTTTTTGTATGCCTCGGAAATTCATTCCATTATCTTCCTTTCTGTTTGCCTCTGCGAAGCTGAGCTCCGGGCAGCCGTCTCCTACCACGGGATGTAGTAGCGGGGCAGAGACCTGGGACGCGGCGGCCTCCTGACATGAAGATCATCTCCCTCTGGCACGGGTGGCTGCCTCGGAGTGGCTGCGTGGCTGCTCGGTGAGGGCTCCCAGAGCAGCCCTCTGGGGGAAGGGACCCAGCCTCCGCCGAGGAAAGCCGCTCTCTCCGTTCCTAGCGAAGGAAAACTCGAGACTCGGAGGCCGAGAGCGATGTCACCTTTTCTAGTTTGAGACAAAACGTCTTTCGACCCGTTTCTTTTTTAACGAAGTGACACAGAGCAAATCCGGTTCACGGTTTTAAGGTAGCGCTGCAGTTTTTTGGTGAGGAGAAAAAACCCCACCAAAATTTTATTTACTGAGAATCCCGCAGTCTGGCGAGGAGCATGATAGAAAGTCTTAGCAGGGGCGTGGTGTGCGCATTTCTGACGGTACTTACTCTGCTTCAGCTCTGGGTGAACAGGAGAGAACTCCAAATTCTCAGAGATCGCTTCCTCCCACGTGAGAACCTGGTGAGATAAGTCTGCATCCTGTTCTCCAAGCCACTCCAAGCTTTTGTAGCAAATGGAAGTAAATTGAGGAAAAGAATCTGCAAAGGATTTTTCACCCCAGAGCAGCTGTGGCCAATACCCCCGATGGTACAAAGCTTCCTTATCCCCCCAGCTGTCATGTTGCAATACTTGACATTTCTATGGCAAGGACCCCGTTTCTTCCCGTTTCCGCACTGAATTCCTGGGGACTACTCCCTGCTCCAGCCTCTGTGCACCTGTCTTGTTTTTAAATGCAGTTATGCCCTGAAGGGTTGGGGGTTTTTTAAGTATATTCAATTGTGATTTAGCACTTTTTTGATACTAGCTCATTATTTAATTAGTGCAACCGTTTCAGAAGATGAACAAATAAGGAGTTAAATTTTGGGCATTACGCTGAAACAGTCCATCCCCAAGGACAAACCACATCAGCCTGAGGGTGGCTTGGCCCTGTCTGAGCCCAGCGTCCCCAAAGGCAAGCACCTCAGAGGTGCTGTGTGCTTGCTTTTACTCCAAATTACAGTGTTTCACAGTGGTTTGGGCTGTGACTGACGTGTTTTCAGACTGTTCCCCTCTGGGAAGAATGTTAAAATGGTTGTGATTTGAATTCTTCAGATGCAAAGTGTAGTGCAGCGCATCCATCATGATCTCGTCAGGCCCTGTCAGGGCTGTGGGACCTGCTGCCACATGGGAATGCTGTGCCCGAGTAATTCCTGTTTAACTCCAGTTGCTGCTGTATGTCAGGATTTCCTTTAGTCTCTCTCACCAGTGAGGCTGGGAGAGAAGTGAACCATAATCCCAAGGGCACAGACCTGTAAAGGATTGGGAAGGGGGAGTGGAGATTTTGGGTTAAGCCGATAAATTTAGGAAACCTAACATTCCTTGTTATGCACATGTTGCAATTCATACTGGTGTAAGTGTAAATATTTGGTGTGTTGGCAACAAGTCTTCGGTGAGATTGCAAATTGAAACTCTGCTTGGGAGGAGGGACACCTTTCCTTTCTGACACGTGAGCTTTTTTGGAGGTTGGCTTGGAGGTGACATGGTGATGAAGACTCCAGTCTTCAGGCACTGGGCTCAGTGACCCTGGTGGTCCACTCCAGCCCCATGTGTAAACCTATGGTTGTCTTTAGTGATCCATTCTTTAGCCAGATACTCCCTTTCTCACCTCACAGACAGAGCAGTTGTTTTGGCAGTTCAGTGTGGTGTGGTCTCTCTCAGGACTCGGTGCTGGAGACAGACTCTGGGCTGTGCCAGTCGCTGGCTCCTGCCCATCCTCACCCACCCACTGTGCAGTGTTGGGGCTCTTCCTCCCTGCAGGGTTTTGTGCTATCTGGAGGAAAGTGCCCCAGATTTCTGGTGCTGAACATAACATTGCATCCAACTGCATCTGCTGTATTACCTGCCTGGGAGGAGCTGGGGCTGCCCTGGGCCTTGTTCCTCTCTTTAAAGACAGATTGTGTTTTGCAGACTTTGGTTTGTGGGCAGAGCCCTCACTCACGGCCAGCAAATGGAGTTGCCGAGTTTTGTCTTTCTTTTTATAGGAGGGGATGATTTTTTTTTTTCAAATTGAAGATGCTTTATCCTTTTTTTATTTTGTGTTTACAAAGGAAAAAAAAAAAACAAAACAGCGCTAATCTTAGCTGTTGAACTGACTCAAACTTGCTTTGGGGTTGTTCTTTTTAGATGAAATTATGCAACTTTTTTGGTGTACACACCTGTTCCCCCTCCCAGGGAGAAGATGCAGCACCTTCCAGGCTGTACCTGTAGTGAAGTCTGTACCTTCAGGAGGCTGCTGAGACACAGAGCAGATGCCAAAAAGCCCCAAACACATCCCATTCTGTGTGCAGCTGAGGTGGATCCAATGCTTTAATGCTCCTTCTATCCACCTCAGAAGTTTCCAGCAGCAGCATTTCCCCGGCTCTGCTCCGATCCGTGTTTTGGAGCCGGCACAGCACTCGCAACGCTGTCATGCTGCAAAGGTCTCCCTTTTAGATCTCACACTGGTATTACCTGATTTTTTTTTCCCAAAAGAAAAGTACCTGTGCTGTTCTCGCTAAGTCAACCCAGCTCAGACATTTTTCTTACCCACAGAAGAATAACCTGGGATTCCCTGACAGGGCAGAGACAGTCAAGTTCAGTTTGCAATGTGGACATTTTTGCTAATTGTGATGTATGGCAGTGGGGCTGATTTGTAATACAAATGTTATTTAATCTGTCTGTATTTTGATACTTGAATTTCCTTTTATTTCCTGTATATACAGTTGTTAATCTGTTCAAATTTGTCTGAATTTTAAACATCTTGTGGTACCAAACATAACCAATCTGTGCAACAACATAGACTGACCTCACTACAACAAGGCGAGATTGTAAATATTCCTGGGCTTCCAGCAGTCGTTTTGTTGTTTTCAAAATTGTACAACTTAGAACAGACCGAATTAATAAACAACCTTAGACACAAGTGTGTGCTGTTGTGTGTGGCCCCAGTGTTGTGCGACTGGGGGTCTGTGTCAAAGCAGGGCAGTTCTCATCCTGCAGACAGTGGCTGGGGGGGTTTGGGAGTTTTGGTTGAAGCTGTTTGTTCTGCAGTCAGTCATAATGACCCAAACATTGAATATTATTATTATTTTGAGACTAATTTATGTGTAAAATCACATCCAGATGTTCTGTTAAAAACAGCACAAGGGTCTGCAGCCATTGTGGGTGTGTTCTACACGTGATGGGGGTTTATGAAAGCTCATTTTTACCCCCACTAATGTACATCTATAAGCACTGTGTCCCTGGGGGCTGTCATGTACTGGCGATAGCCACTGAAATCCCTTTTTGCAGCATGGCAGTGAGTGGTTCCTGTGACACCAGTACCCACCAGCAGCCAGAACATTTACCCAGCAAAGACCTGGGGCTTGCCAGGAACTAGGACATTTCAGTATGTAAAATTAGAGCAAGAAATCCAAACATTTAAATACAGGTTAAAGTTCAGATTTTCATGTCAAGTAAAATCTAACTGATATGAAATGCTAAATACACCAGGGATTGCTAAATTTATACCGTATGTTCCATTTCTAATAAGAAGGCAAGTCAGGTTTTCAGGCTGACACGAAATACACTGAGCTGGTTTAATGGTTTGAAACATCATGAGGTGTTATCCCTCACAGCCAGAGCCCTGGCTGGGACTGACACCTCAGCAAGGTTACAGGCCCTGGGCAGATTGCAGAATGAGCACCATGAGTTAAAAAGGCTTGATCTGTACTGCAGTTCAGTGAGCTCCACAGCCCCTTGCCTTCCCCACCAAATAGTGACAGGTTTTTGAGGAAAAAAGACTACTGCTTTTTCTAGGTGAGAGCTTTATTCAGATCCTGATGTGCAAAGGGTCACCTCCTGCTGGCCTTGGTGGAGTTGTTGGATGGACTTTTACAAGGTGAGGCAGGATCTGAGAAACTGGAGGAGAATGGATTCCATCCCTGCCTGGTATGTGGAGAATGTGATCAGAAATAATCCAGCTTGCAGCTGGGAGAAGTACCTTCCTGAGAATTCCCAAACTCTTGTCTGTTGTAGATCGCACTTCCAAACCCATACCAAACTTCCAGCAGCTCCTCCTGAATGGAACCAAGGCTCTTTGGGAAATCTTTTTGAGAATATTGTCCATCAAGGAAAATTAAAAGACTGAGGAGGGAATGAATCCACTGCTCTGTAGGGAGGAAAAGTATGGAAATAAAAAAAAATTGGTCAATCAACTGAAATTTTCTGTGAGAGAAGCTTCCTCAGGCAGCCAGGAGCAGATTAGGGACAGCCCAGTTACAGGAGGATGCTGTGGGAACCAGGAACGCTCTGGAGGGATGCCAGATAAACCAGCATCCAGCACAGGAACCCAGGTGATGCTGTGTGGCACCTGAGAGCACTCCAGGATCAGGTGTACTCACCTTGCTTTCTCTTTGTCTGTCACAATCCGCAAGGTGGGATTTATGATGTGGTTCTTTTAGTTGGTCTTAGAGTACAAAAGATTATCAGCAAACCAAGGACTTAAACAGACTTTATTGAGTACTCATCAGCACTAATATGCGATAGAGAGAAAAGAGGAGAAAGCAAAGCATAAGGAAAAGAGAGTAAGGGGATTATAGCTACCAACGTCGAAGCCCACTCAGCCATCCAACGATGCAGAGTGCTCTATCCATTGGGGATATCTCAAAGGAAGGTAAATTTGACTATAATTTTATAGTCTTTTGCAAAGCAAGGGGCACAGGGTCAAAAACAGAGGAGATTGATGATCATTGTGATGAATTCCATTGCGTGGGGAGCAGGTGTAGGGTACAGAGCAAACCACATCTTGCAAGTCTTTGCTCACCAGCAGGAATGAGGGCAAAGTGTCATGGAAACCCATTGCACAGGGTACCACACACAAGCCTCTGCTCACCAGCAGGAACGAGGGCAGTGTACTGTGCAACCACCTGCAAACAATCACTTAGCAAACATCTACCTCAGCTAGGCCTTAACCCCTAAGCCAAGTCCCTTGTGATATTCAGGGTCTCAGTCTGTCCTTGAGACAGTTGTGAGACAGATGGGAGAATCTTTGGACCGTCTCTTACATTGTCAAATATCCAATTTCTTTCATGCAGGAAAAAACCACAACAGTGACTTGTGGTGTGGAGAGGACAGAATCTGGCCAGATCCTTCTACAGAAGGTGCAGAGGCAGTACAGCTGTTTATTTGTGTTTATTTGTGCGTCTCTATGAAAAAAAGCTGAAGGTATTAAAAGTGAAGTTATTCAAGCCCTTCTCCTACCTCAAGGAATAATTCCTTTTGCCCAGGCTCCCAGCAGGGCAGATCCATGGATCCTTGGTTTACCAGGAGGTGAGACCTGGTTCTGCTGTGCTTCTCTGACTGCGGGGTGGGGGCTGCTGCCAAGGGGCTGCTGCTGCTCAGCCTCTCTGGGGTGATCCAGGGAAATAAACACACACACACACACACACACCAAATGTTTGCAGGACCAGCCTGGTCATGCTCAGCCAGCAAGAAGCAGGTTTGGGGTGCTGCAGGTTGAGGGGATTTGTGTGTGGGGGGAGAAAGAGCAGGGAACTGCTTACCCTGACACAGCACTCGTGTCCCAGCACATGGTTAGGCTCCAGGGACTGGTATCCACAGAATGTTATACTGGATAGAGGATTTCAGCCTTCAAGAAGGAACTTTAATGAAGTCTGAGGAAGGAGACAGGCAGCTATGGAGAAGTCTTTGCAGGCTAGTGAAAAAAGATGTCTACATTAAATGCAGCTTTTCCTTTTTAAATAGGCCTCCTAACTGCATTCCCTCATTCCTCACAGGATCTCAGAATCCTTCAAACTTGTGAGAACTCACAGTTCCTCCTGAGAAGGCTCTCAGCTCTTTTCTGCATGCAGGAGCAGAGGCTCACTGTGTGATATGTGCCAGTGGCAGGCCTTGAGGGAGGGATCCACGAGGCCTCTGGCTGTTAGAGACATTTCTCTCATCTGTTACTGAACAGGTGACGAAAGCATCAGTTTTGGAATACCAGGGTTCATTTAGTGCTTTAGTAGCTCCTGTAGAAAGACCAGTTATCTCCCTTTTTTCCTTGACTTCACAGGCAGCTTATTCAAGAGCTCCTGGAATTTCTTCACATTCATCCTGGACACTGGGATCTTGAAGTGAGTGCAGTGGCTCTGGATGGTGACATTCAACAAGTCCAAAACCCCAAAAATCTTGGGATGAGACAGTGAATTGAAAGCTCCACACTGCAATAAATGCTGTGAAGTGGGGCTATTTTGGAATGCTGAGAAAGTTCAAATGCAGCACTTACCCTGTCTTAGCTGAGGGGTAAAAAGAGCACAGCACTTTTCAGAGAAACACTCCCCACCCTCATGAAGACCAACAGAATGTTTTAATAGTGCTTGTTTCTGCAGCAAGAGTGTCAGTCACTTAAACAGCTCTTCAGCTGAGACACCAACACCTCCGAGAAGAGCTCCTCTGCAGAGTCTGCTTTGTTCATCTCACAATCACAGCTTACACAGCTAGAGCCTTTAAATCTTTCCATATTAGTGACTCATACCTGACACTCATCAGATTTAAGAACTTCTTAGTAAATCATGAAGCAATGAATAAATAAAACAGGCTCCAACTTTTTTTGCTTATTCCAGGAGCTATCCTATATTCTTGGTACTTCTACATCAGACCCAAACCCGCCTCCATCTCTATTCTCACACATTCTTGTGCTACAAGACAGAGAAAAATAGATAGATAGATAGATAGATAGATAGATAGATAGATAGATAGATAGATAGATAGATAGATGATAGATAGATAGATAGATAGATAGATGATAGATAGATAGATAGATAGATAGATAGATAGATAGATAGATAATAGATAGATAGATAGATGATAGATAGATAGATAGATAGACAGATAGATAGATAATAGATAGATAGATAGATAGATAGATAGATAGATAGATAGATATAGATAGATAGATAGATAGATAGATAGATAGATAGATGATAGATAGATAGATAGATAGATGATAGATAGATAGATAGATAGATAGATAGATAGATAGATAGATAGATAGATATAGATAGATAGATAGATAGATAGATAGATAGATAGATAGATAGATAGATAGATGATAGATAGATAGATAGATAGATAGATAGATAGATAGATAGATAGATAAACGCAGACCTGTGTGGAAGAAGTTGAGCCCTGGCAGTCCAAAGTCACTCTAAGGACAATTTCATGCACAATGGTCAGTGAGGAAATGTCACCAGTGATTGTCCGTAGCTGGTTCCAGGAGAGAACTGCTGCAGGGAAGCAGAAAAGCAGGATAAAAGTAAAGGAAGGAACGCGAACCAGAGCCTCTTGAGGAAAAGGGAGTTTAAAGCATTTACTGAGCAGCTTTTGAGTGAAAACGTGCAGGTTTGTGTACAAATCATTGCCGAGTGAGGGTGTGAGGGGACCAGCTTCCCTCTCGTCGCCGCGATCCCCGGCGCGGGGCTGACCCCTAGCGCTGGCCTGGAGCACACAGAATAACCACCGGCATTGAGACAGTTAAAACACCGCCACTGAATGAGCTAACACCGGGCACTGCCCTGGCCCGCTGCCGCCGCCCCGGGGTCCCGCACCCACCCCCAAAGCCGCCCACGGGCCCGG